ATTGCGCGTACCCTTCGCCGTCGCCTGACGCGCACCTCCTCAAAAATGTAACTACACGTCGCGACGACGCGGACCGCAAGATCGGTGATTGGTCGGCTTGGTATCATCGCATTTCCTCCTACGCATTTCCGCACGTACCTTCTCACGCATTTCCACCACTGTCCATGATTTCCACACGTACCATCTCCTCCGACGTCTTCTCTCATTTCTGCCTTTCAGTTTTAGTAATTTCACTAAAGTGAACTGTTTTTCCACCGCAATAAGCTCCAACTCCAACATGATCAGCTCTCTTTCAATCGCTATTGCTTGTAGTAACCTAGCCGCGAGGAATCTAAACACATTAAAACTCTCCGCCGCCAACTAGCGTTTCGGAGCAGTACTGCAGAGCAACCAAGACCTGAACGCAGAAGTATAAATGCTCATAACGGCGTCGCCTACGTGCGTAGCCAACGCTGCACATTACGGCGTACCCTCGACGCAGAAGTATAAATTGGCCTTTATAAAGCGTCAGATATTGAAGCATGTCCAAATGCTTCCCAAGGCGTCAGTTAAGTGACGCCTTGGGGGTGAGAATGGGCTGTCTTTTGTCACATGGGCTGCTAGCCAAGGAATATATCATGTGGTTTCAGGCGCAGCCAACAAACCGAAATAAATTATTATATTGAAGTAGAGTATTGGTATACTGTTAATCAGTCACTCACTTTAATAGCCGAATAGAAGTTTTACGATGGTTAGTTTTAATAAAAAGAATTTCATTATGAAATGTTTATATTTTATTTATTTCGCAATATTTTAAATGAAGATATGTATTTGCATATATGCCTTTATTTGAATGTTTTGATTTTTGAAGTAGGGCCTATGTACAGTAATAGAGCACCACTGTTTTTTTCTGCACTCATTATTCCCATAGGGATTTTTAAAAGTCTTTTTTGAAGAGTTACCACCTGCGGGGTGAATAACAACATTACAAACATTTATTTGAAGCAAAAAACAAAAGTATTTGAAAATCTGACCATTTCTTTTCCGATTTTCCAAACGTTTTTCTTCAAAAATTCTGCTGTTAAATATGATAATTAAAAAAAAAGTCAAGTCTATATAGCACTTTTTACAATACAGATTGTTTCAAAGCAGCTTTACAGTGATAACAAGAAAATAGATCTAGAAGAAAATAGTGTCATACAGGATACTACCATCTTAAGTTGGTAAGTTTTAAGTTGTAAAAAAGAGTTATTAATTTAGTTAATTTATTTATACAGCTGCTCTGGAGAAAACAGTGATGCCGTTTTCAGTTTTCATTCAATAGTGTCAATGCAGCAGGCAGATCAATAATATTGTTTAATTTATATTGGTGACAGAATGGAAAAAGAAAACCTTGGGAGAAACCAGGGGGCCAGTTTTCCTCTGGCCAGCAAGTTAAAATAATGTGAACCTTCACTCTAAAAAATAATCGTCATTTTAACGGTAAAAGACTGTAAAAATGCTGCAGTCTAAAACTGTTAATTGGTTAACAGAAAGTTTCCGTTCTATATACGTTAAATAACTGTGATATATTTTTTAACTGTAAAATACAGTTAAATTTACAGTTTTTTTAAGTGAAAAAGACCAACTCCTTGTTTAATTTACAGTGAAAAAACGGAAATTGACATTCCCACAATTCCGTGCGTCACACTTCTCATTTGATGTTTTTTTTTTTTTGTTTTTTTTTTAATAACTATGTTTCCTCATAATTTTCTTGTTTTTCTAATCAGTTATGTACATTAGGGTTTTATGTTACATTTAATGTTGTTCAATTAATGTTTATTGCATTTTTAAATTTCAGGTGTGTTACCATGATGGTGTTTAATGGTTGTGTGAATGGTACTGTGCAGCTTCTTAATATAAGAATTAATTTTCTAACGGAAGATAACTTGAGATGAGTTTTGATAACTCATGTAGCTCTAATCACTACTGTGATGATGGTTTGTTGTATTACAATGGTACAAAACAGATATCAACTTTTCAAAAGGATGGTATATCAACAGCTTTCAGAAAATTAAATATGGTTATTACTGTAAAGGTGATTACGGTTTATTACTGTAAAGGTGATTACAGTTTTAATGCATTTTTTACAGAATTGTTCTGGCAACCAAAGTTGCCAACATTGTTCCGTAAATAATACGGGATTTTTTTTTACAGTGTAGGCCTATTAACAACCTAACAGCTCATAACAGCTCTGTCGGTTCATATATATATACACAACGCATTCTCACCCCAAGGCGTCACCTTTGACCATGCTTCAATATTTGACGTTTTAGGCACCCTTTAGCGTCAATTACATGACGCGATCCTACGGAATCATCTAACTGATGCTAAAGGAAAGCGTCAGTTAGAGGACGCGGTTAGGTTTAGGTGTGGGGTGGGGGTAGGGTACACGCGATCCTAGGGCGTCATCTAACTGACGCTAAAGGGCGCCTAAAGCGTCAGATATTGAAGCATGGTCAAATGCTTCCTTGGGGGTGAGAATGGACTGATACAGTATACCAGCCCATTCTCACCCCCAAGGCGTCACTTAACTGACGCCTTGGGAATCATTTGGACATGCTTCAATATCTGACGCTTTAGGCGCCCTTTAGCGTCAGTTAGATGACGCCCTAGGATCGCGTGTACCCTACCCCCACCCCACACCTAAACCTAACCGCGTCCTCTAACTGACGCTTTCCTTTAGCATCAGTAAGATGATGCCGTAGGATCGCGTCATGTAAGTGATGCTAAAGGGCGCCTAAAACGTCAAATATTGAAGCATGGTCAAAGGTGACGCCTTGGGGTGAGAATGCGTTGAGTATACACACTACCGGTCAAAAGTTTTAGATCGGTAAGATTTTAAACAGTGGTTTTCAGTTTGAATAGTAAAGTGTAATTTATTCCTGTGATCAAAGCTGAATTTACAGCATCATTACTTCAGTCTTCAGTGTCACATGATCCTACAGAAATTATTATGCTCAAGAAACATTTATGATTATTATCCATGTTGAAAACAGTTTTTTACATTTTTATTTCAAGATTCTTTGATGAATAAAAAGTTCAAAAGAACAGAATTGATCTGAAATGGAAAGCTTTTGTAACATTAATCACTACCATTAAAAAGTTTAGGGTCAGTAAGAATTTATTTTTTATATTTGGGGGAGAGAAATTAGAAAATACTTTTATTAATCAAGGATGAGTTAAATTGATCAAAAGTTACAGTAAAGACATTTATAATGTTAGAAAAGATTATATTTTAAATAAATGCTGTTCTTTTGAACTTTATATTCATCATAGAATTTTGGGGGAAAAATGGTAGACGACTGTTTTCAACATTGAAAATAATAATTTATGTTTTTTGAGCCTAAAATCAGCGGATGATTTTTGAAGGATCATGTGACACTGAAAACTGATGTGTAATCAGCAACATTAATGATGTTGAAAATTCAGCTTTCAAATTACATTTTAAAATATATTAAAATAGAAAACAGTCATTTTAAATTGTCATAATATTTCACAATATTACTGTTTGTCATTTTTTTTCATCAAATAAAGCAGCCTTGGTGAGCAGAAGAGACTTATTTATTATTATTATTTTTTTTACTCCCGTAAGCGACTGTTGCACTCATTATACGCTGGAATCAAAGGGACCGATGTAATTATATAATGATGTTATGGAAAGCTGTATCCTTTTTAACAGGTTATTCGAGACGAAGTGTTCGTGTTCACGCTCAATTTGCAACATGTTAGCAATTTTTTCAGTACATATTATTTTTATTCGTGTGTGTATGTTTTGGCTTTTTTTCGGTTACATGTGGGTTTCAGCTGCTGTCTATACCCTATTATAGTTGTTTGTTTTATTAACCTTTATGTACAGCACTTTGACTACCGTTGTGTTTAAATGTGCTCTAATGAAACTTGTCTTTATAAATATTTTTGTTGTTGTTTTTTTTTTCTTTCTCTCTCATTGAAATGAGTGTACATTCAAAAATAATTTTGTGGAACCAGCAGAGGGAGTCAGAGGGATTTTTTTTGGGGGGAGGGGGGGGGGGGAATCTAAATGCAAGCTGTAGATTTATAAGAAAAAAACAACAACACTGAAACAAAAGAAATCAAATTCAGAACACAGTCCAACGGATACTCCACTATAGAGACAAAATTCAAATGAGCACCAATCTAACAGTCTAAATTAAGTTAAAGTTAAAGAAACAACCGAGAAGAAGGCTACATATACAAAGGTATGAGGGGTAAAAAAAGAATTGTGAAATAAATGAGTAACTAAAGGGAACTAACTAGACAGGAAGTAAACACATGAAGTACTGGAAAGCAGGAAGACAAGATAAAAACAAAAGCAAAAGTTTGACATGATAATTGTGTTTATGAAATTCAGTTGCTCATAATGTGAAAATATTTAGATCTGAGGTTGTAAATGAACATCCAAGCTTCTCACTTTTATGAAGCAGTGTTTACATCAAAATCCAATTAGTCACCTACTTAAAAAAGCATGCAAACTGACTGCACTCAAAAAACCGAGTAAAGTGAGAATAATATGTAGTACTAACAAGTGCATGTCTAGTACAGGGTCTATATATTTCCAGAAATCTTGTAGATTTTGTTTGATTGAAGGGTTAAGCGGTTCGATCTGACTATCTTTTTAAACTTTCTTTCTTCAGTGTTCCACTTCACCGTCCCCACACATCTCACTTCTTCACCCCATACACAGCCTGTTCACACGTTTGGTTAAGGACCATAAATACACACAATGTGCACAAGTCATAACAGGCACACACAACTAGCATAAATGAGTACATATAAAGTAAATGATCAAGTATACAAATTAGTTTTAAGTTACTGGAACTTTCTCACTCTCAGAAAAAAAGCTGTCACTGGGGCTGTACCTTTTCAAAAGGTACACTTTTGTACCTAAAGGGTGCATATTGGTACCTTAATGGTACATTTTAGGTGTTAATATGAATTAGAGCATACTCTGTAATCTCTATTCATGAGTGAATTTCTTCTCTCATGTATAGAGACTGTTATAGTGTTATAGTGATATGTTATAGAAGTCTCCTTACAGTTATAATTTAATATTAATTTGGCTAGACCAAACAGGATATAGCCTATGACGTATCTGTGAGGCGGAATTAACAGTACTTCTCACACTTCCTCCATTCCCCACAAACGAGCATTTTTGTCTGCTACGATGGCTTTTAGGCTGCTGCTGTTCATTTCTCTTCTTACAGAGAACACAGGTACGAAATCCAATTAATTTACTAAGATGAATTAATCTTTGATTAATGTTTTTTGTTGTTGTTGTTGTTTTGATAACGACTGATATATCATATATACGACATCATATTTAATTCCATAATCAGAGTTTACATTTAGCAGTTGTTGAAAGCCAGCACTACTTGGAGTAAAAAAAAAATAATAGATCGTCAGCATACATAAGATGATTGATTGAAATATTACCCAACATGCATCCAGTCCTACAATAACTTAATCGTTTGGACAATTCATTCATATAAACATTAAAAAGGGCTGGTGAAAGTTTACGCACACCATTAGATGTATGTGTGATATGGTACTGCAGTCTGCATGTGTAATATTGCATACATATTTAATCATGCATAATAAACACATATAGAGAAATATATAATGTAATATATTTCTTGTTATTTATAATTATTTACAATATAAATGTTCCACATTTTTAGCTAGCAAAAGCACAAGAACACCTGCATGCAAGTACTAAAGTATTTAAAGCCTCTGTAATGACTGGTCTACTGAAGGCAAGCTGAGGTGAGAACCCAAAAGCAATTTAATTACAAAAAAAAAATAATAAAATCACATTACAACATCAATATACTGATTTTGAATATACTGCAATAAAGTATATAATTTTATATATTACATTATACATTTCCATATGAAAAACTACTGCTTATATTATGTTATCATTTATATATATATATATATATATATATATATATATATATATATATATATTGCACATGCATGTCCCCATATAAATGTGAATGTATGTAGTGTACACAATAAAGGATAAAACTTTGTGAATATTAGATGTAATGCTATTTTTGTCAGTAGTTATAAACGTTTTATGTGTATAAAATATAGCGATACATGCATGGTTAATGCATATATTGCAGTTTATTGAAAAATGTATTTTTGGAAATGTATTATGTAATATATCGCATAATATTTTGCAGTATATTCCCATATATGTTTGTACTGTGAGGGTGTCCTCCCTCTCACCCTGTTTACTCATAATAGCTAAACATGAAAAATTACAAAGAAAATATTCCCAAACAAAAACACAGAACAAAAATAGCTACTTTGAATATAAATGAAATATCAGAGGAAACCAATAAAGCACACAGGTTTTGTTGACTTTCTGTCAAGAAACATTTCATCATATTATCTTGAGACCACTAACCTACTCCAAAGAAATCACAAATATTGAATACACAAATGATTCTGGAAGGCAGGAGAATGAACCCATCCTGGTAAGGGAGTCTCTCTCCAACTCTACATATCAAATGCTGCTTGTATCTCTGTGTTATTCCTGTTCACCATCAGTCATCTCAGACTCAGACACAAGCTAATCAACCCAACTGATAACAATCTGAGCTCCGGCATTATGGTGGAAAAGAGAGAGAACATGATGAAAACACCAAAATAGCACAATATAAAAATACAATCAAGCTCAATACTCAAGATATAATACATCAACATATGTATTGGACATCTACTTTTAACACCAATGTCACCAATTTTAACACCAATTTATGTCATCTCAAGTCGAATAGATTAAGTAAACTGAATGAACAATTAATTTGTTTGATTAATTAAAGTAAATTGAACAAACAACTTTTTGAGTGACCTTTTTGATCAAGATATTTTAAAATGAAAACATTGAGTTAAACCAAAAAATAACAGTTTCAGGTCAGTTGCAATTATGAATGGGAAATCTGTTACAATGCTGTTGAATCAAAATCATTTGTTTAAATAAAGTGAACAGCATAAAAAAATAATGTTTTGAGTGTTGTGATATGCATATAATATTTCATTTTCATAATTATGCCACCTGCCTATTTTGATTATTTGGGTAAGCACTGCAGTGACAAATAGCTCCAGATATGTGCATTATACCTGTATTACATTTTTAAATAGGCTATGCTATTCTCTCTCTCTTTTTTTTCAAGCAGTATTTTTAAATGTAAAACGTTTGATTTATTTGAGCATGCTCATTTCATAAAAATGTGAACAATGGGTCTAGTGAATACAGCAGCTTTACTCAGAAACTCTTATTCTCTCCTCAGGGTTCAGTGCTAACATCTCTGTGTTTGTGCAGACGGGAGATTCTGTTCAACTGGATATACAGACTCAGAAACTACCAGAGTTTGATCAGTTATCCTGGATAAATGATAAATCACAGAATATAGTTAAATATATAAGAGGAACTAAAGAAGTTAAACCCCACTCTTCCTACAAGGACAGAGTGCATTTCAATGATGAAACGTTCTCTCTCACACTGAAGAACACACAGAAGACAGACAGTGGACTCTATACAGCCAGAACAAGTGGAGAATCAGATGAAACTATTGTTACATACAGAGTATCTGTTATAGGTGAGTGTGATTTTGCTTGGCATTTTTATATCATAAGACTCATTTATGTTCAGTCTTTTATTCTTGACTGTTGTACGATACAAGTAGTGAAATTCAATGTAAAAATGAATATTAAATATAAAAACGGGTTTTTATTCAGAATTTATCTGCCAACGTTTCAGTTAGTACACTCTGTAAACATCTATAGGAATTTGACAGCTTTAAATAGAGTGATGTGTGATATTGTTTAAAAATAAATGTGTTTTAGGAGCTGTGGAGGATCCTGTCCTGACTGTAAACTCAAACTGGTTCAGTGGTAACTCCTGTACTGTGAACTTCACATGCAGAGCTCATGACCTCATGACAAACTCTAGCTATCAGAACAACAGATGCTCTACAGAGGAAGTGACATCACAAATCAACACTCTAATCCTGCACTGCAGTGAGGAATCAATCATCTGTAACCATAGCAACCCAGTTAGCTGGAAAAAAGACAGAATAAACATTACCCAGCTCTGTGTCAAAGGTATCGGGTCAAACACACACACAAAATAATAATTTAATAATCACCAGTTAGATCAAATATCTAATTTTGGTTAACTATATAGTCTAACTGCTGCATTGTTGAGTGATCTCAGAATACCTGACAACTGCAGTATCTGTTCACACACACACACACACACACACACACACACACACACACACACACACACACACTCAGAACACCTGATCTGACATCTGCAGTTCTTAATGACGTGTGTCTCTTTTCCAGACGACAACCCATATGTTCACCAGATATCGCCCCAGGTTCCGATAGGTCTGGGGGCAGGGTGTCTATTGGTGGGAATATGTCTCTATTGCAAGTGTAAAAAGGGTACGTACATGTTGCCACATACGTATTTTCTATGGTAAACAAATCGCATTCTCTTTTCATCAATTTGATCAAGTACTTTTGTATAAGATAAATAATTGAATATTAAGTAAAAATAGGTTTACTATTTTTTTTTCTCTTTTGGTCAATTTCAATGACGCAGAATACTGTTTTCTCCAACCTTTAATTCAGTAGAGACTCTCATCACACCATTTAAATATCATAAGTTAGTCTTAAAAAAAAGATCTGTTCATCTTAAACTATTCTGTTTTTCCCAGAATGCAACCTTGCAGAAGACAATGCAACCTTTTCAGGTTTAAATATAAAAATGTTTTGCTCATACAGAAATGTATTTGTTCTTTGCTGGTGCCAAAAAAAAGAAGGAAAGGAAAACAACAAATTCAAGAATATTCATAATATTTAGCTAAATATTTTATGTAATACAAAGGGTTCCTATAAAGACTAATGCAATAATTATCTTTATTTATTATTGAAATGGTTTACACTGTTGTTTACACAGTGTAAAACAACCTTTTCTGTAAAAAAACTTTTCTATCCAGTCAGATGCAGAAGGTCCACAAATTAGGAGACTCACTGATTAGAGCAGTTTGAGAAATGAATACATTCCCTTTTATTTGGATGTTGATATATTTTTGTACATTCTACACCTCATAGGTGTCCCAGAGGCTGATAGTACAGTCTATGCTCAAGTTGAGGTAAGCTTCACATTATTCATCCTTTTGCTCGCAGACTTTGTGAATATGTTGGCATGCTGTTATTTTTATTCATGTTATGTTTTCTATGTTATCAACATGAATAATTGGTTTCATATTTCCTTTTTATATTTGATGTCATATTTGTCTAGCAAATATATTACTATGCAGTATATAATCTAAACAAGATGCATAACCACATTATTAAACCCATTAACATTATTTTCCTGAAGGCAATGTTTGACTTTGCATAGCAGAAAAGTGTTTAGACACATTTTGGTTATAAATAACTATTATTGCTGCTTACTTTATAATTCAACCTTCTCAAGAAAACATTGATATGCCCAAATCCTGAATTAATCCTTCTGCAACTAAAATCAATTATCTGAAGTGATTACAATTTTACTTTTTTTGGCCCCAGCAAAGATTTGTTTCTCTTGCAAATAGAGCAAGAGTTATATAATACATGTCATGCATACAGGTTCCCGGCCTAGTGAATATAATTAGATACAACTTTCAGATTGCTAAAAAGGTATTTTCTATATAGTGAATTGTGTGTAGTAATCCAGATGTACTACATTCACCATATTATTATTATTATTATTATTATCATGTGCCTGAAATTAACACCCGACCACCTGCCAAATGCGGGTGAATTTTTCTATTGGCGGGTAACACTGTCAATCTACCTGCCACATTGGCAGGTAGCCAATGAGAGGTAGCTCAACAGGTAGCAGGTAGCTCAATTCAGGTAGCTCAGGTAGCTCAATTCTCATTGGCAGGTAGCCAATGAGAATTGAGTGATTCATTAGGATTTTTACATTTCAACTAAGTTCGCGTTTGACTTTAGCTAAAATGTGGCGGCACATTACTGGGGTAAAAAGGCCAGCTGAAACAAACAACCAACAAAAAGATGAGGATGAGAAAAAGAAAAAAAGTGGACAATTGGCAACAATGGCAAGGTTCGTAAGCGGCTGATTTATGACAGCGACTGTTGTTTCGAAACATTCATGCGATCAGAAGAAGACGAGGCCCTTTTCTGACTACGTTTGGATGTGCGAGTATTAAACTGTTGGTGAGATGGGATGAGATAACGTAACGCTGACGTAGCCTACAGTACAACGACAGTTGCACAGATGTGTGTGCGTGTGCAACTGTGCATGTTGGGAGTTGGAAACCAGTGAGAAAATAACCGGTACCCGGTAACTTTACCAGTAATAACAATATTAATTTAGTTCATAGTTAAAGGTTCCTGAACGCTGTAACTAAAAGCTGTCAGGATCTGTCTACGTGACTAAATCAGCCATCAACACAGCCGCGTGTGATTTGTTTACATACGAGCTGCGGTAGGTCTATCTGTTGAGTATATACTATATAGCCTATAGGCCTATATGTTGTGTGAGTATCAAAATCAATGAATAAAAAGATTTTTTTTTTAAATGTATGTTCTTAGAGTTGTTATTATTACTTGACAGCACTTAAATGTGTATTCTTACAAGTGAAAGAACAATATTGTGAAATTCCCTTTTTTTTTCACCTTTATATAAAGGTGAAAAAAAAAATAAGACAGGAATTTCACAATATTGTTCTTTTTACCAGCCATTTTTTGTCTGAGGCAAAATATGAGGCAAAAAAAAAAAAAAAAAAAGTGGCTGGTAAAAAGTCTCTGTGGCAGGTGAATTTTTAAATCCACCTGCCACAGTGGCCGGTGGCCGAAAAAGTTAATTTCAGGCCCTGTGTGCATCAGCATCATTTGTGTCGCTTCACTGCCATTCACATATCCTCTCCCATGGCCTAATGGGATATTAAAGTCTACATTGTATGCGCACTTCAGAATCTTGCCAGGAGTAAGTCATCATACGTTTTGTCTACTCTTTTATGAGTTCGGTCATACTACTCTTAGTTGTCACATGCGTTTTTTTCTCCTAGTATATTGAGAAGAATGACCATACGCTTCTTTTCTCCTGCTCCTTGTTTCCTTTTGCCACGTCCACTCGTTTTCTGAATTCGGAACAGCATACTACAGTTATTGCTGCCATAGAAAAATATGGTAAGACTAGGAAGAGTAGCTATAACTTACAGTTCCGAATTCAGAATCTGTCTAGTCCTCGTTTGACTAATTGACTTTCCTTTCCTCAAATGTCCTCTGGATTGTTTTGTGCCTGTTTGTTCTGTGCTTTTCACTTTTTTAGTCCTTGCTATAATCTCTGTATTAGTCTTGTTGTGTCTCTATGTTGTTTCAGCTAACTGCCTTATTCAGCTGGTGTTAACTTCTTTATAAGCTGCCTATCACAGTGTGGCAAGCCAAAGTCAGTGTCCATGAACTCCATATTACTATAAGTTTTTGATAGAAAATTATGAGTTTTAAAGTATAAGTTTTTGGTTTGAAAATTTCGGGTCAAGAAATGCAGATAACCAACAGTGACGGTCATACATATGATGTTCCAGAGCGGGTGAGAATAATCTAAAAAGTAAACAGGCTAAGATTATGAAAATTGCTTCTATTAATTGTTTTGTAAGGTTAGTGAATGTTTGATTACATTGTCTTTGTTTATTTTAGTAATTGTTCAGTTAAGCATGATTATTATGGGGGCATTTTAAAAATACCACTTTGTAATTCATAAGGTTCAATATCAGACAGAGAAGGAAACGGGAGATAATCGACCCGAGACAACGTACTGCACAGTAGGACAACACCAAAACCCTGTGGTCCCAGTCGAAACAACCAGTACAATTTATTTAGTGGTGTGCAAACAGTCAACCAAGAAACCACCCACCATTTCATCTGATGACGCATAACATGAAACTGTGTTTGTCACATGGAGAAGTTTCACAAGGGATGATCTCAAAATGGCTTCCTACTCTTATATCTCTGGCATATCGGCATAGGGTAGAAATAATAAGAAATTTATATAGACATAGACATTGGATTTGCAGTTCTGACATTGGATTTGGAGACATTCCTGGAGCTGCACAGTTTAGCTTCAATTAGACGTGTGTTGATTCTTGCATTTGATTTTATCGCTTTGTGTCTGGATCTTTTCTATGATTAGAATTAATTAACTGCTCTGAACAACTTTTTGTTGAAATCACATACTCTCTTGAGGTACTTATTTTAAAATGATATAGTATGAATGTCACTTCGGAAGCTCACCGGCAGTAAGTAATTTCTTTTACTGTCTATGGTCATTAGAGTATAGGCTAATGTTTGTTTACTCTTCCTACTGTGAATTCATTAGATTATCCTTCTGTGCTTACTTCTTTTGTCACATGGGCGGCTAGCCAAGGAACATATGTGGTTTCAGGCGCAGCCAACAAACCGAAATAAATTATAATATTGAAGTAGAGTATTGGTATACTGTTAATCAGTCACTTTAATAGCCGAATAGAACTTTTACGATGGTTAGTTTTAATAAATAGAATTTTATTATGAAATGTTTATATTTTATTTATTTCGCAATATTTTAAATGAAGATATGTATTTGCATATATGCCTTTATTTGAATGTTTTGATTTTTGAAGTAGGGCCTATGTACAGTAATAGAGCACCACTGTTTTTTTCACTCATTATTCCCATAGGGATTTTTAAAAGTCTTTTTGGAAGAGTTAGCACCTGCGGGGTGAATAACAACATTACAAACATTTATTTGAAGCAAAAAACAAAAGTATTTGAAAATCTGACCATTTCTTTTCCGATTTTCCAAACGTTTTTCTTCAAAAATTCTGCTGTTAAATATGATAATTAAAAAAAAAGTCAAGTCTATATAGCACTTTTTACAATACAGATTGTTTCAAAGCAGCTTTACAGTGATAACATGAAAATAGATCTAGAAGAAAATAGTGTCATACATGATACTACCATCTCAAGTTGGTAAGTTTTAAGTTGTAAAAAAAGAGTTATTAATTTAGTTCATTTATTTATACAGCTGCTCTGGAGAAAACAATGATGCCGTTTTCAGTTTTCATTCAATAGTGTCAATGCAGCAGGCAGATCAATAATATTGTTTAATTAATATTGGTGACAGAATGGAAAAAGAAAACCTTGGGAGAAACCAGGGGGCCAGTTTTCCTCTGGCCAGCAAGTTAAAATAATGTGAACCTTCACTCTAAAAAACAATCGTCATTTTAACGGTAAAAGACTGTAAAAATGATGCAGTCTAAAACTGTTAATTGGTTAACAGAAAGTTTCCGTTCTATATACGTTAAATAACTGTGATATATTTTTAACTGTAAAATACCGTTAAATTTACAGTTTTTTTAAGTGAAAAAGACCAACTCCTTGTATAATTTACAGTGAAAAAACGGAAATCGACATTCCCACAATTCCGTGCGTCACACTTCTCATTTGATGTTTTTTTTTTTGTGAAAACTATGTTTCCTCATAATTTTCTTGTTTTTCTAATCAGTTATGTACATTAGGGTTTTATGTTACATTTAATGTTGTTCAATTAATGTTTATTGCATTTTTAAATTTCAGGTGTGTTACCATGATGGTGTTTAATGGTTGTGTGAATGGTACTGTGCAGCTTCTTAATATAAGAATTAATTTTTTTAACAGAAGATAACTTGAGATGAGTTTTGATTACTCATGTAGCTCTAATCACTACTGTGATGATGGTTTGTTGTATTACAATGGTACAAAACAGATATCAACTTTTCAAAAGGATGGTATATCAACAGCTTTCAGAAAATTAAATATGGTTATTACTGTAAAGGTGATTACGGTTTATTACTGTAAAGGTCATTACAGTTTTAATGCATTTTTACAGAATTGTTCTGGCAACCAAAGTTGCCAGCATTGTCCCGTAAAAAATACGAGATTTTTTTTTTACAGTGTAGGCCTATTAACAACCTAACAGCTCATAACAGCTCTGTCGGTTCATATATATATATATATATATATATATATACACACACTACCATATGTACTGTATATATGGTATACACACTACCAGTATACACACTACCATATATATACGTATATACAGTATACACACTACCGGTCAAAAGTTTTAGATCGGTAAGATTTTTATGCTTTTAAAAGAAGTCTCTTCTGCTCACCAAGGCTGAAATTATTTGATAAAAAATACAAAAAAAAAAAACAGTAATATTGTGAAATATTATTAGAATTTAAAACAGAGCTTTTCCGTTTGAATAGTGAAGTGTAATTTATTCCTGTGATCAAAGCTGAATTTACAGCATCATTAATATATATATATGTATATATTAATTTTTTTTTAAATTATTATTATCTTTACTCCTGTAAGCGACTGTTGCACTCATTATACGCTGGAATCAAAGGGACCGAAGTAATTATATAATGATGTTATGGAAAGCTGTATCCTTTTTAACTGGTTATTCGAGACGAAGTGTTCGTGTTCACGCTCAATTTGCAACATGTTAGCAATTTTTTCAGTACATATTATTTTTATTCGTGTGTGTATATGTTTAGGCTTTTTTTCGGTTACATGTGGGTTTCAGCTGCTGTCTATACCCTATTATAGTTGTTTGTTTTACCCCTTAACTGTCACCGTCCCACAGGTGGGACGTTTGCCACTATATTTTTAAAACAATAATATCTTAGTAAATACTTTAAATAATATTGACAAACTATATATCATTTGAAAGCTTACAATCTCTAGTTTCCATATTTGGTGACTGATTTTCAAAATATATTACAGAGGAGCCATAATTTATCAATATAAAACAAGAATATTTTCATACTCATAAGGCGTGTTCAGACCTTTATTTTAAAATAGCAGTAAACATGAAAAATCATAAAAAATGGTAGATACCTCAGTTTGTTTTCATGCCAAAAGTTCAAAAGATAGAATCCATTCAATTATTTTGGAAAAAAAAGGTCTGAAAAGTTTGAAATATCAAGAAAAAAATAATAAATTCACCATTTGTGACGTGGCAGCTAGCTATGACTTGCATGCGTGTTCTTTGTATGTTTCTTAGAGGTTCAATTCATATCAAAATCTGCCAAACTTCCCATGCTACTTCTGAATAGGATCTCTACTTCAGAAATTGTATGAAAATTGTGAAAATAATGGTTCATATCACTCAAAACACGAATGGAAATGCAGGCGCCCTTATATGGGCAGTAATGGAGTCTGATTGTGCCCTAGTGAAAAAGTTTGGTACTGCACTCAAACAAAATCTTACTGAAAGCTCATTTTTTGAGATATCAACCTAAAATTTGAAACACAACTTGTTCATATTTTTGGCTTTGATCTTTCTGACATTTTAGAGTAGCCCAGGTTTTGAAAATATATATTTTATGTAAAATATGAATAATTAATATTTTTACATTGTACATTTCCATAAACTCAAACTTCTATAACTTTTTTTCTGTTTCACTTTCTTAATTTATTTCACTTCTACAAAAATCTGCCAAATGTCTTCTTTAAAACAAGACCAATCATATGTCTATATTCCAAAGCATTCTTGAATTACAACCATTTAAGTTCGAAATGTGCATTTTCATGTCTATTCAAAAAAGGGGGGGTGACAGTTAACAGGTTAACCTTTATGTACAGCACTTTGACTACCGTTGTGTTTAAATGTGCTCTAATGAAACTTGTCTTTATAAATATTTTTGTTGTTGTTGTTTTTTTTTCTGTCTCTCTCATTAAAATGACTGTACATTCAAAAATAATTTTGTGGAACCAGTCGTGAGTCAGAGGGATTTTTTTTTTTTTTTTTGGGGGGGGGGGTTACCCGTCATGTTAGATGGTATAATACATTGCTAAAAGTAGCATGCATCTTGGCAGTATAAGGTACACACACTAGGGGTCGCAATTAAAATAATGATAGGCTGTTGTCATGTAATGATGAGGTGTGGATCTAAATGCAAGCTGTAGATTTATAAGAAAAAAAACAACAACACTGAAACAAAAGAAATCAAAATCAGAACACAGTCCAACAGATAGTCCACTACATAGAGACAAAATTCAAATGAGCACCAATCTAACAGTCTAAATTAAGTTGAAGTTAAAGAAACAACCGAGAAGAAGGCTACATATACAAAGGTATGAGGGGTAAAAAAAGAATTGTGAAATAAATGAGTAACTAAAGGGAACTAACTAGGAAGTAAACACATGAAGTACTGGAAAGCAGGAAGACAAGATAAAAACAAAAGCAAAAGTTTGACATGATAATTGTGTTTATGAAATTCAGTTGCTCATAATGTGAAAATATTTAGATCTGAGGTTGTAAATGAACATCCAAGCTTCTCACTTTTATGAAGCAGTGTTTACATCAAAATCCAATTAGTCACCTACTTAAAAAAAGCATGCAAACTGACTGCACTCAAAAAACCGAGTAAAGTGAAATAGGAATAATATGTAGTACTAACAAGTGCATGTCTAGTACAGGGTCTATATATTTCCAGAAATCCTGTAGATTTTGTTTGATTGAAGGGTTAAACGGTTCGATCTGACTATCTTTTTAAATTAAGGTCTTTCGTCAGTGTTCCACTTCACCGTCCCCACACGTCTCACCTCTTCACCCCATACACAGCCTGTTCACACGTTTGGTTAAGGACCATAAATACACACAATGTACACAAGTCATAACAGGCACACACAACTAGCATAAATGAGTACATCTTAAATAAATGATCAAGTATACAAATTAGTTTTAAGTTACTGGAACTTTCTCACTCTCAGAAAAAAAGCTGTCACCGGGGCTGTACCTTTTCAAAAGGTACACTTTTGTACCTAAAGGGTGCATACTGGTACATTTTAGGTGCTAATATGAATAAGAGTATACTCTTAGAGTCATCCCTATTCATGAGTGAATTTCTTCTCTTATGTATAGAGACTGTTATAGTAGTGATATGTTATAGATGTCTCCTTACAGTTATGATTTAATATTAATTTGGCTAGACCAAACAGGATATAGCCTATGACGTATCTGTGAGGCGGAATTAACGGTACCTCACACTTCCTCCATTCCCCGCAAACGAGCATTTTTGTCTGCTACGATGGCTTTTAGGCTGCTGCTGTTCATTTCTCTTCTTACAGAGAACACAGGTACGAAATCCAATTATTTCATTAAGATGAATTAATCTTTGATTGTTTTTTTTGTTGTTGTTGTTTTGATAACGACTGATATGAAGGACAGATTTAAGATTCTCTTAAACATTACTTTTAATTCTTACTGTTTATTTACCAGTCCTTTTTTTCCTCGCTCTTATGCTTTGTCAAAAATGTTTCAGTAAAATTTTGCAGAGATTTAAATGATTTGTTACAGTAGTTTGTCTTGAACTTGGCTTTCAGTTCTTCTTTACAGAGAAAAATATCAAGCGTGGTATCAGTTCTGGCATCAGTTCTCACGTTAGTCAAGCTCGCATCAGCTGACACTCAGCTGATCCACATCATAAGAATACGACTCACACCACTGTATTCATACATAATCTCCTTCAGTATATCAGCAGCTGTCGCGTTTCTCAGGAGATCATTACCCTCCTCCATCCCCAGCTCCTCCTCTCGTCAGTCAGGATTTGGCATTCTGATTCCCCTTGAATCAGAATAAATTCTCAAATTATTATGTTGTATTTTAAAATCTTAAATTAATGATATCTGCAATACATTCATTCATGTTGGTTCTTTTCTGTTGACCCTAAGGGGTGTTATTGCTGCTCTCCCTGCTCTTATTCATGCTAGGCTGCACGGATGCGCAGGGAGTTCTCGCCCAGAACAGAACATACCGCCAACCCAAACTGTATACTAATTGTCCATCGTATTTGACGATAGTGGCCCTGACAGAACTTGTTTTTTCCCCTATGGCCTACTGCATATTAAAATACCCATTAACTAAATGAAATTCCAACTAAAACCTTTAGCTTGTGGAAACTATTACTGTACATGAAAACAGCAGTAAGCAAACACTTAATCAGTGTCCTTTAAACAAATTCTTATTTTCTCTCTCCTCAGGGTTTAGTGCTGAGATCTCTGTGTTTGTGCAGACGGGAGATTCTGTTCAGCTGTATATTACTCAGAAACTACCAGAGTTTGATGATTTATCCTGGATAAATGATAAATCAGATATTATAGTTAAATATCTCAATGAATCTAAAAAAATAAAACCTCACCCTTCCTACAAGGACAGAGTGGATTTCAATGATACAACCTTCTCTCTCACACTGAAGAACATGCAGAAGACAGACAGTGGACTCTATACAGCCAGAACAAGTGGATTATCCATGGAAGATATTGCTGTATACAGAGTATCTGTTATAGGTGAGTGATGTGTACGGGCTTAATGATGTAACTCAATTGAGCTTTCCTGTAGCTCAAACAGTAGAGTGTTGGTGCTTGCAACACCAAGCTCATGGTCAATTCCCAGGGAAAGTAAATTCCCAAGTTCTAGCTTCACTGAATTTGTGTATGTGGCCTTAAATGTTTTAATGTTTGTTTCAGATGGAGTGGAAGCTCCAGTCCTAGCTGTAAACTGGTCTAGCCCTGACGCCTGTAGCTTTTCATGTAAAGGGGGTCACGTTATAATAAGCTCCATCTATAATAGTAGCAGCTGTTCTCCTGAAGAAGAGACATCACCTGATGATAACTACACTTTAAATCTGAACTGCAGTGATGACCACATCGTGTGTAACCATAGCAACCCAGTGAGCTGGAAGACTGATCGAAAGAAGGTTAATGAACTCTGCACTGTTAATAAAGGTATATACCATATACAGTACACTCACATATGCAGAAGGAATATGAATGAGAGAATGTAACTAAACACTGATCGGAAATGCCCGTTTGTTTAAAATTCTGACTGGGAAAACTGATTATTTTTGTCTTATCATTCATGTAGAAACAACAAAAGCTGTAAGCGAAACACAATATCCCTCATGGCTTATTCCATTCAGTTGCATATTGACAACGATTTTGTTGGCATCAGTGATCGGCTGGTGTCTCTACACAAGAAAAAAAGGTACAAAGCATCCAATCTTACATTCATTTTAAAGACACATTATAAAGAATTGAATAACCGTAATGCCCTAAGCACTATTTCATATTGCCTAAACGTACTGTATGTTTTTCTGATTGTCTGAAAATAAAATAAGACTGTAGCTACTGTGCGTGTACTATATGTCAAGTGTATTTTATTCATTTTCAGAAACAAATATAATCACATTTACAGTATTTGCACATAGCTTATGATGATGTGCCTTTTAAGGATTTCAACAGTAAGAAAAATACTTAAACAGTTAATGTTTGACATCAAAATGTAATACAAAACCTACTTTTTGAATGAGTAGGCTATATGACTTGATGGTTTTGTTTTGTTTTTGGACCCAAAAGTAGTTTTGCTAGTCTTTGGAGCTTTAATAATTTTTCTTCACAGATCAGTTCAGGTTTAAAAAAGAATATGTATTTATTATATTCTAGTATGGAGACCATTTGCAGATTTAACCATTGACTAAATGCGTTTAAAATAAAAATGTTTGGCTGAATGAAATATGAAACAGACCATTTAAGTGTAAAGTCTAAACTGGTAGTTCTTCATGGTGGTATAATTTTTTAATTAACTAATTATTTTTGGGAAAAAAATTATTTTTGGAAATCTTTAGTCTTTCTTACAGAAAAACAGAACGGTTAATATCACAAGCACTTAAATAACAATTATATAACAATTTTGGTATTTAATATTAGCACTTTTATTCATAAATGGATGTTTTAATGGCAGAATTGAAATGGTAGAAGGATGTTTCTTTAAAGTTCAGTTGTGCCTTTCATAATGATTTTTAATAAACATCCTAAATCGATTGTATCTTTTCAGATCATTCCTACTCCCCTGATCAGCCGAATGAACAAACAGTCTATGAAAAAGTTGATGTGAGTTTTATTTTCCTATTCTTCATTAACACTGATGATAAATGTTTTTATTTCTTTTTGAATCAAGTTTTGCTTCACTGAGTCTGATGTTGATTGAATGTTGTCAGAATATTAAGAATATTAAACCACAACAAAGTCCACTGGAGATGTTGGAGAAAACAGCGAAACCCTGCACACTGTATGACACTGTGAGAGAACATGGACCTCCTGATGTTAAGATGGAAACCAACGAGATCTCAACCAGTCATGACTCTGTGAATCAGGTGAAGATCAAACTCTTACTGTAATTTTACAAAAATTTAGATTAAAGACACGTCCAGACGTGAGACCCTGTGGATGTTTAAAGGATGTATTGGAAAACTGTTTTAATGAACGCAAATAATTGTGTTCTTTATTTCAGAGTGCAACACTAACAGAGAACAGCAAGCCAAATACACCAGTCACTGTCTACTGTACGATTCAGAAGCAACCAAAACCTGAAACTGAAAACACCATTTATGCTGTTGTCAATAAACAGCTAGCCGAGGACAAATCTGTACACCCAAAACCAGAATAAAATAATAAAGTTGAACGTTTAATAAAGCTGAACCCTTATAGTGATTTAAATAAAAGTAAGGCTGTTGGTCTCGGTGTAAATAAGCAGAAAGTATAGTTTGAGCAGCAATATGTATATGCAGCAAGTACATGGTCTCCATAGTGAATATGTAAATGAATGTAAATAAAATATTTTTTTATAGTATTTTTGATGTAAATTTGTTGCATGTGGCCAGACAGCAATGCAAAATATCACATATTTTCACATATATAAAAAAAATTAAGTTATTTTGTTAATTTGTCCATATGCTAAGACATACAATAATGCTCAACTGCAAGTATTACAAGAAATCTCAGTCCTGTACAGATCTTTTAATAAATATTTTCTATTGCATAAATGTAAACCTAAAGCAGCATTCTTCCCACATAATAGAGTATTGACTCTAAAATAGGTATCAGGTATATATATCTATATAAATAGATGTGGTGGAGCCTATGATTGAACATGTTCCAAATGAGATAATTCACCTTTCTCAAAGCCAATTCATACACTACAGGTGTACATTAGGGTTAGGGTATCGATTCAGATGTTCCAGTTTGATTCGATTTCGATTCGCAAGTTCTCAATTCAATTTGATTTTCTATTTCAATTCTGATTTGATTCAATGAATATAGATTTAATACAAATCCTATATATATATAAAAAAAAAGAACAGTGAACAAGTTTACAAGTTAATAAAAAGAAATTAACAGCCACAAACCTATATATTAAACTCTTTTTATTTTAGGTACACTTGGGTATTTAAACTGAACCCAACTATATTTCAAATGCATACAATGAACAGACAGGATTTGATGCAAGATGAAAAATTGATGGTAAAAATTGGACAAGTCAGAACAGTCGCATGCCTTGATCAAACAGGATCAGGTTATTTTATGTTTAAGAAAAAACAAACTTAAAATCTCACAGCATATTTTCTGACATACTCTGATCTCAGGCAGGGTACTCTTTCTGGTCTTTCTTTCTTTCTTTCTTTTTGGCCACACATAAGAATCAATGTGCAATTAACCTAAACTGGCAAATGGCCATAAAATTCCTGATATTGGGTGATATATTTTGGTCCCAGTTTGACCATGGTCCTTGCATGTCAACGGCAGATCCTGAATCCATTGCAGGAAAGCACTTTTTCATTAAAGAGGGTATTTCGGACACTCAATGTTTGTTCCCTATACTTATTTAAACACTAATTGTAGACCGTCTTTAAAATAAATATCACACACGCTTTATCACAAATACAAAGGACAGAGTCTTGCAGGTCACCAAAGGAATTGCCAAGCCCTATTACTGATAATAACAAGCTTCACACTTCTGTTTTTAACTCTTCTCTTCTGACTCATTGTTCTCATGACTGGTTTTTCTCAGTCTCGCCACAGAGGCTGATCACAAGGTTCAATGTAACACTGAATAATTCTTTGGAAAGTTCCAGATTTAAACATTAAGTTGGACGTGAGTTTCTGTCATGTTTAGTTTAGTCAGGGTTTTCTTTGTCTCTGCTGTCATTATTACTGTAATTCGAGATGACAACATGTGATGTTCTATTCTGAGCTGCTGAGGGGACACCGGTTCGCTAATTCATGAATAATCATATTTAAGCCCTCAGTTTTTCACAGTTCATGTTTCTCTTGTTAAATGGATAGTTCACTTTGAAATTAACTTTTGATAAGTTTTAGCTTACCTCAAGGGCATCCAAGATGTCTTTGTTTCCACAGCATTTTCAATTTTGACATTTTTCGGTCAAACCGGTGTTGTCTGTCAGTCATATAATGTAGTTTTAGGGGGTCCACCTCAAAGAGCAGACAGAGAAGTCAAAATTAAACATGATTTAATGACTCGTAAATGTAGGTACACATTGATGGCCAAAGACACGAAGCGATCGGTTTGTGTGAGAAAACGAACAGTAGGCTATTTATATCGTTTTTACCTCTTGTTAACAGCCGTCGAACTGATCTGAACCGAACTGAACTGACTGAACCAACCGTCTCCAGACATTACGCCGGAGGTGATCTCTCACGCATCTACGTCACACATTGTTTACACGGAGATTTCGGAAGTTTTACCTTTCACTAAACATATTTAGATATATCGAAATCGTCTTCCATTGCGATTTCCCGTATATCTAAATATGTTTAGTAAAAGGTAAAACTTCCGAAATCTCAGTGTAAACAATATGTAGACGCGCGAGAGATCACTTCCGGCGTAACGTCTGGAGACGGTTCAGTTGGACATCTGATTCAGATCAGTTCGGAGGCTGTTAACAAGAGGTAAAAACTATACTGTTAAAAAGACTGTTCGTTTCTCACACAAACCGCTCGTTCACCCGCTGATCGAATGCTGTGGTTGAAACGATTGAGTCGAGCTTACAAGATTAAGAACATTTACAGAACAACTTTTGATGAATATGACATTATGATTCTGAGCAACCCAAAAGCACCAGACATTATCTACTGTGCCATTCAGAAGCAACCAAAACTTCCCAAATCTGAAACTGAAACCATTTATGCTGTGGTCAGTAAACCACCGGAAGAGTATTGATCGGTAGCTAAATATGATAAAATCGACCTTTCAATAAAAAGTGTAATCATGTGTTCAGGAAGTCTTTGCTCTTCTCAGTTGCAGCATATTAGGCAAAGTGCTAGCTATAATTTATGATGTTTAAATATTTGAATGTGAAAGTTCTGTCTTTTGTTAAATAAATAAAAGCAGTGGCAAATCTATTTTGTTATGTAAAATTTCAGAACTTGTAACTCAGACAGGAATGCAAAATCTCTGGTGTCTGTAGATTTCAGTTAGAGATGCGTCACTGCCTTTGCATGCAACACTTGACAAAACCACTTCCTGGAAAGTCTAAGGGACGCTGGGGGCTTTCACTTGCTCATCCGCCCCCATCCCCCAGTAGTATAGGAGTAGTATAGGCCTATAGAACTTAAACAAAACAACAAAAATGTACTGTACAGAGCTGCTTTGCCTGGAGAACCCACAGGGTGAATTGCTGCCACCCAAAATTACCAAACAAACAAAAAATAATTGTCAAAATTAACTTTAAAAGCCCAGAGTTCCACTTCTGGTCCCTTCATAGAGACACCTAGTGGATGAATATTGAACTCACAAGTGCCAGAGTGGTCTGACCATATGCTTTTGTTGTTGAGCTGGAAACCTATCCAAACAAAATCATCTTCTCAGCAAACCAGTGGTTGGCAAAATTGTGTATTTTTTGTTAATCTATTTAGTATTAGGTTGCAGAATGCCTATAGAAGTGCATTTTATATTCGTTTTGGATAAATAAGCAACTCTGAGCTAGTTCAAAAAACGATGGGCCAAAAATGACCCTCTGAATGTTTGGGTTAAACAAATGTCAGGTCAAAAATGACCCTTTGGTTCTTTGAGTGACTTTGAAGGAGAATGGTGACAGTCCTGTATTTGGCTAAAGCCTTGAAATCATTTAATTTGTATAATATATGTTTCTAAGTTTCCTCAGTAGTGCAGGGCCAGAGACTAATAAAGCAGTATATCTTGCAGGGTGTATGGCCGCTCCCTTTTCAGGACAAGGAAAGCAGCAGTGTAAGATCACTGTAAGACAAGTATAGGAGCAACTTGAAGCTGATGATAGCGACTTATAGGCCCTGAATTGGACAGCGATAGCGATTCTGATGAATTGTTTCAACCGCATCAAAGTGATGGTGGTGAATCTTCTGCCCAAGACAGTGACTCATCCAATGACTTGTCCAAAGATACTGCTAGCCCACAGATGGGGCCAAATTGTGCCGCAAAAACGTATAGTTGGCAAAAGAAAGGCTTTGAGTTGCCTGATGTGAGCTTTCAAGGTGAACAGGTTGAGTCGAATCAGGATACCTAAAGCCCAATGGGTCAAATAAAGGGTTAAAATTGAAAAAGTGGATATTTTGGTGTTCAGTGAATTTAAAGCAGTAATTTAATGCATATTTCATAATTTTCCAAGGAAGAAAAAAGTAAATTATATACTATACATATATATATATATATATATATATATATATATATATATATATATATATATACTGTGTAATAATAAAATAATAAAATAAATGTATCTTTGTTGTTTCTTCATGGACTTAATTAAATCAAGCTTGTGTTTAACTCTTCTCGCAGCTTTTACTGGAAAATATATTTTTGTTTTTTACATTTGTGCAGCTGTATATTACACTGAATCATATCAATGTAATAAATTCCACTGGAGTTCTTTACACACATTGTTCTATCATTTTTGTGCTCATTTGATAAGTATTTTCCACTGCACAAAAGTAAACCGCATGCAATGTTCGCACATCTCTCAACCCCCTTGCTGGTGTTATATGGGGGAGATGAGGAGGTTTCTGGTTTTAAGATGAATAGATGTATTGTTAGAGCCTACTGTATGATTCACTCATGTGTTTAAGGACTAAGTGAAATTTAAATAAACACTTTAAGACCAGGAAAATAAAATGACAATAATGTTAAGAGATTCAACTTTTGATCTTATATTTATTAGTATATATTTGGATTAAAATGAAACAAGATTAACAGTGCTTTAGAAGTATTGTTCATATTTCATGTTATGTTTTAATGTTAACAAATGAAACCTCATTGTAAAATGGTAGCTACCATGTCTTTTCTGTATTTGCTACTACATTTAAAACATATACGTATATTAGCGTTCTGTGCTTAATGTTTGTTTTCATTAATTTTCAATGTGTGTGCATGCTTTTGTCTTTTTTCATGAATTCAACATTTCTGGTGTTGTTTGTTCGTATTGAAAGGATCAATTATGGGTTGACTATAATGTTTACGAAGCATTATAGTTTGGCTGTATATTTTCATTCAAATATTCTTTTAAGGAAAACATTACACTATAAACTATATATTTGAAGAGTTCAGATGCAAAAGCCTCTAAGTGCCATTTGAAATTTTCTTCTAGAATAATCATTTTTATCAAGCTTGTATATTTAAGTTCAGTGATTTCACTTAAATGGCAATGATAATTACCTATTAATTGTTATTTAAGTGAAATTACTGAACTTAAATATACAAGTTTGATAAAAATCATCATTAAAGAAGAAAATTTAAAATGGCATTTAGAGGTTTTTGCATCTGAACTCTTCATTTATATATATTTAGGACATACTGGCATT